GTCTAATTAAATGTCTTTCTCGTTCTAAACTCCTCGCCATTTTCTCCCCTTTCACGTTTCATCAAATCGTTACGTTAATGTTACATTTTGTACGATTTCTTTGTGGATTTATGATTAAAGAGAAAGAAAAAGAAAAAGAAGAAGGAAAAGGAACGACAATTACTTTAGGTTCGCACATTTTGACAAGCTGTTGTATTTTTCATATAATTCTTATAGCGTATAAGAAGATCGTATATTATTTTTCTTTTTTGTTCATTTTTTCTTTTTTCTTTTTTTTCTTTTTTTTTCTTTTATTAATTTCTACATCCGACAAAAATATGTGATAACGAAAAAATTATAAAAGGATCTCTGCATATAATATATAATATGTATTAAGGTTATATGAAAGCACCTGAAAATGGCTCCTTGAAATGGTAAACGTGACGTTCGAGATTTTTCCTCGCGTTTCTTCAATGAACCAGGATGTTTATACGTGACGAATATGTGCAACCAAGACGAGTTTATCAAAGTCTCTTACAATCTCTGATTTATTTTGAAAAAGTATTACATACGACCCCGGTAAATTTATCGTATCCTGTCCCGAGCAAGAGGCGCCAATGTAAAGTCAATTTTTTTTTTCTTCCTCTTTTATTTATATAAAATCTTTACTGGATATTATTTTAAATATAGATAAAAGAAGAAAAAAAAAAAGAAAAGAAAGATAAAAAAGAAATAGTTATAGGAACCATACGAAATATTAATTGTATGATCTTTGAAGTTGGTTTATAATTATACACATATATACATTTTTACGTATATATATATATATATATATATATATATATATATATGCGTACATACATACATAAATGCATACATATCTACACACACACACACACATTATGTTGGAAACTATGAAACGGGCGTTTTTGTTTAGTTATTTATTTTCATTCATCGACCGTTTTATAGTTTCCAATATATATAAAACATATATACATGCATATATATATATATATATATATATATATAATAAATATAATATAATAATAGTAAAATATGTATAATAATTTAATATAATATAAATAATAGTAAAAATAATAAAAATTATAATAATGATAATAATAACAATAATAATAAATATAATATAATAATGATAAAAATATATATAATAATACTAAATAAATCGAATTATGAAGACAATTCTATCTAAGAAAATGTATATATACATATATATATATACACATATATATATATATATATATATATATATATATATATGTATATTTAAATAAAGTCGTCTATCAAATTATATATTATTATAAATAAATTTATATGTAGATAAATTTATTTTTTTATATTAGATTTATTTTATTATATTTTACTATTATCACTTTTCTAAGAGCTCTATCCTTACCTATAATAAAATATAATATTAACATAATTTCATTTACAAAATAATCTCTAAGATGTTCTTACATTTGTATATTTATTTTTATTTTATTTTATTAAACTTTATTACTATTATTTCGTAAGAGTTCTTTGTATACATATAATAAAATATAATATTTGCGTAATCTTTTTTTTACAACATACTCACTAAGAGACATATTTATACAAGTATATATATATTTATTTATTTTATTTTATTATATTTTATTACTATCATTTTCTAAAAGCAAGATATATACCTATACCAAAATATAATATTTATGTAATTTTTTTGCTAAATACTCATCAAGAGGACATTATATATATATATATATATATATATATATATATATATATATATATATATAATATTTACTTATTTATTTTATGTTATTATATTTTATTATTATACATTTTCTGAAAGCACTATATATACCTATTTGAAAATATAATATTTACGGAAATTTTTTTTCAAAGTACTCACGAAGAGACTTACATTTCTAAATTCGTTTATTTTTACCGGTCGTCATGGAGAGATAAAGAGAGAAAAAGGATGGTCTGTGTCGGGGTGAGGGGCGAGGGGTAAGCATGAGACAGACATGAGAGAGAGTGAGAAAGAGAGAGAGAGAGAGAGAGCTGTGACAGGAAAAACGTAACATTAAGCTCGCATGCGACAATGTCGAGCTTTTTCACGCTTTTATTCTTATTTATTTATTTACACGTGCGCGCGTTTCACTGCTACGGGACCCCTACCATCCATCGAGGTAATCCTTATATTTTATTGCGAAAAAAGATTGGGATAGTAGGAACGATCGTTTTTTCTAATTTAGATTAATCAAACTATCGAAAATTCAACGTTCAATGTTTTATATGGTTAGATACTGTCAGAAACAAGAAAAAAGAAATAAATAAAATAGAAATAAAAAAAAAAAAAAGAAAAAAAAAGAAGAAAAAAAAATAATTCACTGTGATTAATATCATATATTTGTTTTACCTCGAAATTCGCATTAAAAATGAAAAAAGAAAAAAAAAAATCTTATATTTCGTCGTCTTACATAACCTTCATAAATTTTCATTTGATTTCATACATATA